GATGGGATATGAAATGGGACTTGGAGGTTGCCTGAAGGGGCCCCCACTGGCAAATCTGGAACAATTTCAGCATCGACATAAACAATAACAGTCGCAGATTAAAAGCTTAGCTGCTTTAGCTATAGTTGCATGGTCTCATTTACTTATTCTCTTTTCCACTATGAATTATCTCCTTTATTTCCCTTCCTTTAAACATTGTACATGGGAGCAATAACCTCTCATTTTTCCTCTACATCTAGATGACACATCAGCTCTGGATGGGCTTTTTCTATATTGAAAAGTTTTGTTCAGTCCAAGTTTTAGGGTGATCATAGAACAAATGAACACCTCTTTAGTGACTTAGGTTCTACACCACTGAAACTAATCTGCTAAGATGAGGTCCTGGTAGCTTACATCTGTAATTCTAGCTACTCAGAAATTTGAGATTTAGGGATCAAAGTTTAAAGCCAACTTTAGCAGAAAAGCCCAAGAGATTCTTATCTCCAATTGGCTGGAAGTTTGACTCAAGTGGTATAGTGCCAAGGCTCTGAGTTCAAGCACCTGTACCAGCACGGAGAAAAAGAAATGACCATTTTCATAGGCAAAATATTTGAATAAGAAGCCAGGTACCAGTAGTTCATGCCTGTAATCCTAGCTACTCAGGAGACTGAGATCTGAGGATTGCAGTTTGAAGTGGCCCAGGCAGAAAAGTTCCCGTGAGACTCTTCTTTCCAATTAACTGGCAGTGGCAATGTGGCTTAACTGGCAATGTGGCTAGCCTTGAGCACAAATTGGCTCAGGGACAAGCCCGGAGTTCAAGCCCCACAACCACAAAACAAAATAAAACAAATAAAAGAGTATTAGGTGGTTCAACAACATAGTTCATCCAAGTTTATATGAATTTTACACTGTGACTTAAAGCCAAATCTTGGGCTATTAAAAACTGATTCCTTGTCTCATCCTCTGTGCCATTCATTTCCTTGGAGACCTACTGGAGTAGCTTGCCAAGGAGTACAACATAGGAATTCCTGGCTTGTTTAAATACCTTATCAATACTTTCTGTGTAAAGTATCACTATAGTAAAGAGACTAGATTCTTTCTTGACTTTCCCATTACTTTCTCTCATTTGTATCTGAAAAAAGTTGGATGCATGGCAATTTTCTTCAGTCTCTCTCTCTCTCTCTCTCTCTCTCTCTCTCTCTCTCTCTCATTTATAAATGAAAGAGGTCTGGCAAAGACTGGGTGTGTCTGATATCTGCCTTTTTTTTCCCCAGTTGCGGCCTGACCTCTGGGCCGGGCACTGTCCCTCAGCAATTCAGCTCAAGGCAAGCACTCTACCACTGAGCCACCTTCCCAGCCCCTGATATCCCTTTTAATTCTAGTACTTTCCATATCTTTTTAAAATAAGGTCTGGGCTAGGGTGGAAGGTTAGGCATACTGAGAATAATACTGTCTTTCTACATGAAGTGATGTCTTCTATGGGCACATTGCCAACCAAATAAGTAATGTGAGGAGGAAAGTGCCCACTTTATCAAATGAAACTGGTGTTACAGTCAAGGCAGAAAAACTTCTAGATTTTATATTACCAATAACATGTTTTATCAGCTTGTATGATGTCTTTATTTACTTTAATTATTAGAAATAACACTTTCGCTGGCTTTCTGCAAGTTTTTAAAGTTCTTGTTCTATACGTTACACAAAAGTTTTTAGGTGATCATGAATAGGAATCATTTTCTCACAAATGTATGGACTTCAAATCATGAGACTCTCTTGAGAAAATCTGTAAGAAAATGCTTTAAATGCTTCAGCTCTATGCTAACAATTATAACAATGCTAAATTTAGTCAGATTTTGGTTTGTCCTCATCTGCACAAAGATGATAATCTCTCACTTGGACTTTCCAATATAAGCATTGTTATGAAATCGTCTGTAGTCTAAGATTGCTTGAAAAAGGCAAAAATAACCTTAATTCTTGCAAATCTGAACAACAATATGCAGCATAAAAAGAATAAAAAGCTCATTGCATAACACAGTAGATCTGTGAATATCCCAAGTCTCCTTCCATGGATTTTCCCAGCCTTAAAAACAATTCTGTAAATTTATTCAAGTAAATTTAAATAAAAATAAATGATAACCCTCAGTGAAATTTCATGATCAATCGTAATATAGTCCACACCAGAATCCAGAGAGTAAGTAAGATATTTAACAAACTGGAAAGGTACTGATTATATTTACGCCATTAGACCTTCTGACTAGTCAGGTTCAGCATCCCTGTTCCCAAAAGCCTAAATCTGAAATGCTTTGAAACTTTGTTTCAGATTCTAAAGCACTTCAGATTTTGGATTTTCAGACTGAGGATATTCAAGTGATAAAATCGATGCAAATATTCTAATTAAGAAAAAGCTCCAAAATCTGTAGCACTTCTAGTCCCATGCATTTCAGATAAAGGAAATTTATCTTGTATGTGGCTGAAAGTTATAAACTTCTGCAAATCCTAGGAAAGCCAGTATGTGCTGGCCTAATGACTGCATCAGTTATCTTTTCAAAAATGTTTCACATATGTCCACCCACATATATACACATGCTCCCATGTAGCCAGACTTCACTATCAATGATCAAAACAGACTTTTTTAATCCTCATATAAAATGAAATTAGTCTCCTTTCCACACTTGAACACTACTATATTTGGATCTTCTATAACCCCTTATCTCATGCTATATTCATATCCTTGTAAAATAATTTTACTCTTATCTTCAGAGCATAAATACAAACCTAATTAAAATCTAAGGTATAGAGCATAACCTTGGGAGCTGTACTCTATTGATTGGCAACAAAATAACAGTTTTAGGAACAAGGGCAATAGCAGCAACAGATGTTCAGATTATTAAGAATATTTGTCAGATTAGTTAGAACATTTCAGATATTGTACTTCTTCACTAGCTGATTCTATGACTTTGCTTAAATATCTCATTGTCTCTGGTAAAGACTGAATGTTATGTGGCATGACATGGCTATTTATATAGGAAGAGTATTATCAGTAAAATACTCAATCTTGATACTAGTGCATTGCCTCTAATATTAATATGCACAAAACCATGCCAGTAAATTAGAAAAAAGAATATGGATGATTTTATGGAAAAATAAAAACGTATTGTCATAATTCACTTGGACTGCTATATGAAAGTAGCTGAGACAGGAATGTATTTCTCACAGTTACGGGGGCCATAAAGTCCAAGATCAAGTGCTGACACTTGACGCTGTATGAACACCTTTTTTTTGCATCCTTAAGGATAGATGGCAGAAAGACAAAAGGGACTAAAATTCCTCATCTCTGTTATTATGGCTTTAATTCCCTTATGGAAACAGGGCCCTTGGGATGTTAACTCCATTCCCAAAGGCTCCACCTCCCAACACTGTTGCAATGAGGATTTGGTTTTTGACATAGAAATTTGGGCTGGAAAACACATTCTTACCATAATAGTAATGTATCAATTAATTTAAATACATTTCTATTTTAAAGGGAAGTAGAAAAAGTAATTCAAGACCTGAGTGCTTGATCTAAACACTGAGTAGGAGAAAATAAGAAACTAAGGTGATGGGGTGGTAGTAAGCAGAGTCCAAATCTTGTCTGGTTTTAGAGGTGTTTGTAAGGATTTTACCCCCCGACTATAAAGAAAGCAGGGAGTCATTTAATAGTTTTGAGAAAAGTGACTTGATTAGTCTAACTTTGCTGTTAAAATGTACAGTTGTTTTGAAAATAAATAGATTTTAAGATACTAGCATGGAAGCAAAGGGTTAGTAAAAGATCATGGTAATAATCTAGAAAAAACTGCTCTTGGCCAAGACCAAGGTACAGCAGTGAACATGACTGGAATTGACTGGATTGCTGATACATTTTGAGAAGTTTCCCAGTGGATATGAGAAAACAAGTATCAATTGTGACTCCTGGGTTTTTGGCCTGAGCAACCAGAAAGAGCATAAAAATCAGTGATCAGTAACTCAACTAAAACCATAATAGGCAATTTTGTTGTAGTTTCGTGAAGGTAATAGAGAGTAAAGGCCTAAGTTGGAGAAAGAAATTTATCAGTCCTCAAGATATAAATACTCTTATTTAAAACTGTGTCTATGAGATCATTGAATGAGAACTGTGGGGCTCTGAGGTAGTTAATTACTGAGATGGGTAGAGGCAGCAAGAAAAGGAACATAATATCTAGGCAACCTATCTTACTCTCTGACATCTACTCATCTTTCAGTTCTGAGTCTCCATTGGTATCCTATCCCCTGATTTGTGAGATATAATTTCTAAGTGCCTCTACATCATCCTGCTCTCACTATCCTCTTAGCATTTGTCACACTGTATTACAGTTGTGTGTACTGACTCATTTCTTCCTGTAAATTGTAAGCTTCTCGAGAGAAGAAATCAAGTTTATCCTTCTCATACAGCATTCCCAGAAATTACCATTCCCAGAAATTATCAAATTATCGTGCTGCTTAGCACACAACAGCTGAGCACAAGTTGGTTGAACTAAGTCAATAAATTGGTACTTACCTTCTTCTTATAGACACAGTACTAATATGATAAAATGATCAGCTATGGCACTGATACCACACATATGTCTAACATATGATATTCATTATTAAATGCATTTTCATATTTATTTTTCCACAGAGGATTTTCTAGCATTACTAGTTGGAGTGTCTCTGTTTTCTAATTTAGGTCAAGAAAGAAGAAATTTTTTAATACCAGTTTGTATCTATAAAGTATATATACCAAGTGTGACTTTCATATATTATTTTACTTACACATTTAACCTCACAAACTTGGGAAGAAAAGTATAATGAATTCCATTTGAAACTAAGCATTTAAAATGATAACTTGTCTAAGGTTATCCTAATGATAAGAGTAAAATTTGAATATCTGTTAAGTCCTTGCTAACCTAAATACATATATTCATACACACACACACAATTTTAGCAAAGCAAAATAAAAATGGCTAATAAAATGCAATTTTGTTACTTACTGGAAAGTATAAGAGCAGAGACCCAAAAAGAATCGTTTCCAACAGGATAAGGCCAGATGCCCTGATGCTCTAAAAAATGAAAAGGAAATGTTATGGTTAGCTTACATTTCTAGACATGAAGGAACTTATACTATTATGAAAATTCTTGAACTATTGAGCCAGCATTCTTTGAAGGAAGTTAAATATATAATTTAAAATGTCTAGCACTTAGGAAGCAAAGAAGTGAAATATGCAGAATGACTGGCTATAAAGGTAACGAGGGACTTAATGGTATCAACAGTAGTGTCATGGGAATTTATGTCAAGTTGGAATCACTGAAAGTTCCAAGCAGCTGAAAACTCTACCTTGAAGATTATGTCAATTCATGAAATTCACGAACACTGAATATTTGTTGTACTTCCAAAGTATAAGCCAGCAGTTACATACTGACTGCTATTCTTTAATCATTTTTAAATATCTGCAGGATCGTTCTTGTGGATTAAATAGGCTCATTTATAAGATCTTGGAATCTCAGTGATATATCTCCCACTATACTCAATTATATTAGTCCACACTCACCAATGCATCTTAACTCTGTGAAGAATATGAATTATCTTAACTAAAAGAACAATCTCACCTTGTATAACAGCTGAACTATTTATTCTTCCATTAAATCCAAAAACCTAAGTTGCTTGTCAAATAAGTTCCCTGAACACTTAGTTTGCTAAGCATAAATGTATGTATCTAATTATCTTAATTTTGCTAAACTCCAAATAGTACATTTCTTTAACAAAATGGGTAGAACTGTGGGTCAAAATAAAGGACCAAAGTCAATTTTATCTTCTAACAGTAAATTTCATTTCAATGAGTTCATGTATCAATATGTATTAAACATACCTGATGAAGAATGGGGCTTCTGTGCTTTCATAAAATGTATATAGATATTACGACAGATATAAGTATCTTATTTAGCAAGAAAATTATTTGAATAAAAGATGCTGAAAATCCCGACTACAAGAGTACATTACATTTTTACAAAACTGTCTGGCAACTGGATAGCCAGGAAGACAAAATTCTAATTCTTCTAAAATCAAGATGGAACTAAGAGCTTTTATGACTCTAAGAATGTGGGATGAGGAACATTAGTTAGTGAACAGAGATGATTATGAGTGGCTTCTTCTCTTTTTGTCTTGTGTCCAGGTCCTTGACCATGCTAGGCTCTCACTCTACTTCTCAACTACATCCCAGGCCCTTAGTGTCTGATTATATTGATTATTATTTTAGCTAGCAGATGTTTCCGTGAAAAGAAAAATTCTATCTGCAAGTGTTTAAATGAATTTTGGCTGGTAGAATTTCAAAAATGGCAAATTACGGCCCTTGCTGAGACAACACATAAACTAAACTGGTGAATTACATTGGCAAAGTGTACTTAATTATAAATGCTGTATAGCTCATGTTTTAAACTTTCTGAAACATCATTAAACTAAGAATCCCAAAACTGCTTGTAAAAGGGCCTGTGCAATACTATAGACTGAAAACAAGATGAAAAACAAAAACAGAAACAAACCTAGAGTGTAGTAAAGAAGACACTTGGTGAGGTATAGTGAGCTAGAGCCAAATTCCAATCCAGACTTAGGATGCGAAATGACTCCAAGAGAAGCCAACAGCCTAATGGTGGAGACCCAGATGCTTTTTCTGGGTTGTGAACATGCTGTGTAATTCAGTGGTTCTTCCATCATATAGTACCTTCTGACTGTTTTTTAGCCAGTAAACTCTGTGGTAGAGTTATAGCCATTACTGCCATGCAACAATAACACTGACATTGCATGCTGGTTTTTACAGTCAGATGAATTGCCTACCTCCATTTCCAATGAAAATGTATAATCGTCTTCATACTTGCTTGGCCATGCTCCTGGCTCAAGAGAGAAGACCGTAGTTTCAGTTTATAAACTACACTCTGATTCTGGTTCCAGAATCAAATGTAAGGCATATTATAAATATGCACTCTTTCCTTTCAAAATATTCTTCATGACCATATAGGATGAACAGAAATATGAAGGTTGAGGCTTCACAGCATAGACGAGGCTCCCTCCCCCAAGCACTTCCCCCATTGTCCTACTGGTTTTAGACATTCTGGACCCATCCCAGGTTTCTCACTTGTTAAGCTTTCAGAGTGACTTATGAAGGTGACAAAGTTAATGTAAAATTGTAAATAATATACTGACTGTGTAAAGCAAGTATAGGAAGGGCGACAGTATGAATGAAAAATGGAGATAATGAACAAAATATCAGAAACCAAGAAAAAAAGTTCTATTCCACAGGTGTGTGTGTGTGTGCGCGCGCGCACACACACACGCACGCACATGCGTGCTTGTAAATGCATGTGTGTGCTCACTAGGCAAGTGCTCTACTACTTAAACTATTCTTCCAACATGTTTGTGCTTTAGGTATTTTTCAGATAGAATCTTGCACAATTTGCCTGAGCCAGCCTTCGATATTGATCCTTCTAACCTCCACCTCTACTATAGCTGGGACCACAGTGATGGGATTCCATGCCAGGCTTGATTTTAAGATACAGCCTCTCCATGTTTTTGCTTTAGCTGTCCTTGAATCATGATCTTTCTATCTTTATTCCTGTATAAGTGGAATTATGGGTACATATACAAGGATATGTTACTTGTACTAATCAGTTTGTGAAATTTGCAAAAATGCATACATCACTCCCTCTGTTATTCTCATTTGTTGTTCCTTTCTCTCCTCCACCTGTATATTTTCATTGTAAAGATACTGTACAAAGCGGTTATAGTTACATGAGTACAGTAATGAGTACATTTTCTATTGAGCATTGTTACTTCCTCCTTTGTCTTTCCCCCACCATCCCTTCCCTCCCTACCTCCCCAACTCCTCCCTCCCCCACCAAGTTGTAAAATTCATTTTCAACATAGTGTCTTGTACATCTCATTGTACAGTGGGCCAACCTGTATCCTTATTTCAGCATCTTATTATTTCCCTCCCCCTCCCCAAGTTAGAAGAATGTATATATAAGATGCAGGGCACTGGAATCAAATACAGTGAAAATGGGGGTTATACCATGGGGGAAGAACAGACAAAAAAATCACACAGTACATTATAAGTACATTAAAAATGACAGCAAGAAAGATTAAACCTCTTGTGTCCCTACTTTGGGGTTCATTTTGCTTAGCATTATCTTATATGGTCATATGTACATAGCTTTTGACCTTTTCTGCTTGTCCTAGATATATACTAGTTATTGCAAATAAGGGAAACCATGAAACCTATATTTCTTTGGGCCTGGCTTACTTCACTTAATTTGATTTTTTTCCAAGTCTTTTCATTTCCTAACAAATGGGGCAGTATCATTCTTTCTGATGGAGGCATAGAATTTATATATGTATATGTATATGTATATATGTATATATATATATATATACATATAAACATATACATATACATATATATGTCACATTTTCTTGATCCATTTATCTACTGAGGGGCATCTGGGTTGGTTCCATATCTTAGCTATGGTGAATAATACTGTGATAAAAATAATTGTGCTGGTAGCTTTAGTAGAGCCTTGTTTGTGATCGTTTGGGTAAATGCCTAAAAGTGGGATTGCTGGGTCATAGGGGAGCTCTATGTGGAGTCTTTTGAGGGACCTCCATACTGCTTTCCAAAGCGAATGAACAAGTTTACACTCCCAACAACAATGCAGTAGGGTTCCCTTTTGGCCATATCCCTTCCAGCATCTGTTGCTATTAGATTTCTTGATTATAGCCATTCTAACTGGGGTGAGGTGGTATCTCAATGTTGTTTTGATTTGCATTTCTTTTATGGCTAGAGAGGTTGAGCATGTCTTCATGTGCCTATTGGCCATCCTTCTTTCCTCTTCAGAGAAGTTTCTCTGAATGTCTTTAGCCCACTTATTTATTGGGCAGTTGTTTCTTTGAGGATTTGTTGTTGGGGGATTTAATTTTTTGAGTTCAAGGTATATTTTAGATATAAGATCCTTGTCTGTTGTATGGCTAGTGAAGATCTTCTCTCAATCCATGGGCTTTCTATTGATCTTGCTAGCTATGTCCTTTGTCATGCAGAAGCTCTGCAACTTCATCCAATCCCATTTGTTCAACCTTTCTTTGATTTGCTGTGTTTCTGGGTCTCTATTAAGAAAATTTCGGCCTGTGCCAAGGAGACCTAGGGTTTCTCCTATTCCTTCCTGTAATGTTTTCAGGTCATCTTCTTTGACTCTGAGGTCTTTGATCCATTTGGAGTTGATTCTTGTGCAGAGTTATATATAAGGATCTAGCTTTAGTTTTCTACAAGTGATTAAACAATTTTTCCAGCACCATTTACTGAAGAGGCTATCTTTCTTCCATTCTATTTTTTTGGCTCCCTTATTGAAGATTAGGTGGCTATAGGTCGGTGGGTTCATTTCTGGGTCTTCAGTTGTAATCCATTGGTTCCTCTCACCCCTCCTTTTTTTTTTTTTTTTTTTTTTTACAGTTTTGCTTGAGATAGAAATGGTAATGTGTGTGTGTGTGTGTGTGTGTGTGTGAGAGAGAGAGAGAGAGAGAGAGAGAGAGAGAGAGAGAGAGAGAGAAAGAGAGAGAGAGAGAGTGTGTCCTGGGGTTTGAACTCAGGGTCTTGGTGTTAATCACTGAGGTTTTTCTTTTGCTCAAGGCTAGAGCACTCAAGGCTCAGATCACTTGAGCCATAGCTATACTTCTGACTTTTTGGTGATTATTGGAGATAAGAGTCTCACAGACTTTCCTTAACATGCTGGCTTTGAACAATGATCTTCAGATCTCAGCATTCTGAGCAGCTAAGAATATAGGCATGAGTCACTAGTGCCTGGCTAGAACTATTTTGTTGTTGTTGTTCATTGTGGGGCTTGAACTCGGGCTGAGGGCTGTCCCTGAGCTCTTCTGCTCAAGGTAAGCGCTCTACCATTTGAGTCACAGTGCCACTTCCAGTTTTCTGGTGGTAATTGAAGGTAAGAGTCTCATAGGGAATTTCCTGTGCAGGCTGGATTTGAACTGCGATCCTCAAGCTAGGATTACAGGTGTGAACTA